ATATGCTTTAGCCTCCAGTCCCCTAATCATCTTTGTTGCTCTTCTCTGTACTCTTTCTAGAGTCTCAACATCTTTTTTACATCGCGGTGACCAAAACTGGATGCAGTATTCCAAGTGTGGCCTTACCAAGGCATTGTAAAGTGATATTAACACTTCACGTGATCTTGATTCTATCCCTCTGTTAATGCAGCCTAGCACTATATTGGCCTTTTGGGCAGCTGCAGCACACTGCTTTCTCATGTTTAAATGATTGTCCACTAGGACTCCGAGATCCCTCTCACAGTTACTGCTATTGAGCAAGGTACCCCCTATACTATAGCTGTGCATTTTGTTTTTCTTGCCTAAATGTAGAACCTTGCTTTTTTCACCATTAAATTTCATTTTTTTAGATAGCGCCCAGTGTTCAAGTCTGTCCAGATCCTTCTGTATCTTAAGCCTGTCTTCTGGAGTGTTGGCTATTCCTGGCAGTTTGGTGTCGTCTGCAAATTTGATGAGTTCCCCATCTATCCCCTCGTCCAAATCGTTGATGAAGATGTTGAATAGCACTGGGCCCAGAACAGAGCCCTGGGGCACCCCACTACACACTTCCCTCCATGTAGATGCGGTTCCATTGAGGACCATTCGCTGAGTGCGGCCGGTCAGCCAGCTACGGATCCATCTGCTGGTGGTGCTGTCTACCCCACATTTTTCTATCTTGTCAAGTAGTAGATTGTGATCTACTTTATCAAATGCCTTACTGAAGTCCAAGTAAATTATGTCCATAGCATTCCTCTGATCCACTAATTTTGTCACTTGGTCAAAGAATGCAATAAGGTTTGTCTGGCATGATCTATTTTTGACAAACCCATGTTGGCTTTTAGTAATGACTTTGTTTGCCTCTAGGTGTTTGCTGATTCGTTGTTTGATTATCTTTTCCAGGATCTTCCCCGGTATTGAGGTCAGGCTGATAGGTCTGTAATTTCCTGGATCCATCTTTTTTTCCTTTTTTGAAGATGGGAACTACATCAGCTCTTTTCCAGTCCTCTGGTAATTCCCCTGTGCTCCAGGATCTTTGAAAAATATAGTTCAGTGGTTCTGAGATCACATCTGCCAGTTCCTTGAGAACCTTGGGGTGTAATCTATCTGGTCCTGGCAATTTGAACTTGTCTAGGCTGGACAGGTGCTCACTTACCATTTTCTTGCCTATCTTAACTTGTGTTTCTATTCTGTTTTTTATGGCACTATTTTTGATAGGTTGGTCTGTTTTTTCCCTTTGTGTAAAGACAGATGCAAAAAATAAGTTAAATAGTTCTGCTTTCTCCCTGTTGCTTGTCACCTTCTTGCCACTTTCACCCACTAGTGGACCAATCGTTTCCTTCATTTTTTTCTTGTTTTTTACATGTTGAAAGAAGCTTTTTTTATTATTTTTGACTTTGGTCGAAAGCCTTAGTTCATTTTGAGCCTTGGCTTTCCTCACTTCATCTTTGGAGGCTCGGGCTATTTGCTGATATTCTGACTTATGTGTCCCTCTTTCCACTTTCTATAGTTGTCCTTTTTATCTTTCAATTTGTCAAGAGAGTTCTTTATGCAGCCATGCTGGTTTCTTTTGAGAGCTGTTATTTTCCCTCTTTGTTGGTATTGTGCTAGACTGGGCTTTTATTATCTCATTTTTCAAAATTTCCCAAGCTTCTTGAGTTGTTTTTCCCTTGAGGATTCTCATCCATGGAATCCTTCCCAAACCCTCTCTAAGTTTATTGAAATTAGCTCTCTTGAAGTCCAAGACTCTAGTTTGACTGTGTTCTATTGCTTGTGCTTCCATAATGTTGTACATTTTTTGCTTGTAGTAACTTAAATGTATGTCATTCTAGCTTCTCTGTATGTGTATTATGTTTGCTACTCTTACCTATTATGCTATCAAAATTCAAATTGGAATGTTTTT